CAAGTAGATTTGAAAGGAAGCCTTTAGATTTCTTTTTTCCCTGTGGTTGCCCTTCCTGGCCTTGTGTAAGACCCAGTTCGCTCTCAATTTGCTCAAGCTCTGACTGGTCGAGCAGTTCAAAATCATCAGCTTCTTCTGTATCTGTCTCCTCGCTCAGACTGGGGAATGCCTGTAAAGGGGCTTTCTGTGCAGATTGCAACTGGTCTTTGATGGCAGCAGATACTGCAGCTGCAATGACATCGCCAGCAATACCACTCACTAAGTTAAAGGTTTGGCCACTGGTCAAAGGCAAGGAGAAGCCTGCAGCAGATGGTCTCTCTCTACTCTGTTTGGGAGAATGATCTGCCTTGAAAGGCATTTGTTCCTTTTTTCTCTTTTGCTGAGTAGGCAGGCCAATGCTTGAGTCATCATCATCATTCGTTCCTGCACCATTTTCTAAGGAGGGAAATTCTGCAAGATCTCTGGCAAAAGCTTCTTCATGATCACTTGGCCGGTCAAAATCTAGCAAATGTTTAATAGCAAGAAATACAGTCAGCAAACAAAGGAGGAATAAAGAATACAAATAATTACAAAAGCTTAACTGAAATAAATTAACTGCCCCACAGTGCTGGGGTAGGAGAGCTTTCTGGCACTTCTAAAATGTTTCATGGTTTAAAAGACTGGTATTTCAAACCAGTTAACATCAACCTGATACAAAATCTGTCTGTACATACAGACAAAATGCCCAGTGGTAATCACAAACCATATGCATTGTACACTAAACCACACACCGCATTGCTAATTTGCAGCGCTGGGGCAAAATTTGCTACTGCGATTTCTCAGTAGCAAAAAAATCCCAGAAGAAAAAAGTGGTGCAAAGCATGGCAAAGTGGCGTGGGCTGGGATAAACGTGGAGATAGGAGCAGGCAACCCAGGGCTGCCAGCTCCTTTGTTTCTGCACACCGTGGAGCCCTCACACTGAGACACCCTGTGCCCCAGCCAGCTGCTCCCCAGCTGGCTGGTACGCAGCATGCCTTGAGATGGGGGAGCAAGCAGCCTTGGGCTGGCTTCTCCCCTGTCTCCACATGCCAATCCCTGGCTAGCTGGGGCAAGGTGGACGGCTGCCTGCTGGCTGTCCCCATGTTGAGGCACACTGTGCCCCAGCCAGCCCACCCTGCAATGCGGAGCAGTGAGACAATTTCTCGCTGCAAAGCTCAGGGGCAGGGGTGTGCACTGTGGCACAAAGTAGCAAGACAAGTTTGTGCTGCTACTATTTGCGTTGCTGTAAATGCACATCCCTCTTGTGTGGATGCAGCCCCTGTGCTGATTCCATGGCATTTTGCTGATGGGGGTGGAAAAAAAAAATCTTTAAAATGTATAAATCGATTAAAAAACCCTTTTTGATAACACTTGCTAAGATTCTTCACTTGATATCAAGAATTTGATAAAACACCTTACAAGATCTCAAAAATATAATCTTAATGTGCTGGAACTGCACAACAGTATCACTTTATCAAAATTATTTATATTAGATGTACAGTTTAGGTTGTGCCAACAGATTTTGTACAATCTTTTTATAGACAAATTTTGACTATTTTATGAAGTGAACTGAAAACAATGTATTCATATTTAAATTATTAGTATACTTATCTATTGATGCACAGAGAGCAGAGAATGAAATATAAGAAACTGACTACTGAAGCTTCACCTTTTCAATAGGGTGAAGGGCAAAATATGAAGAGCTGTCCAAAATAATGAAAACTTAATTAGATTTAGTATGCATCATCATCATCATCTTACTAACGTAAAAACCTACTGGCTGCAAGCCTAGAGGGTAGGACCCAATGGAAAGAATTAAGAAAAATACATTTTAAATAGAGGTGCACCGATACATGGGTCTGATATCGGATCAGTTACAATATAAAGAAAATTTAACATATCGGAAATTGGCCAAATCAGGCTGATAATTTGGCTGATAAATGGCCCATGTATGTGCGCAGGAAAACTCCTTTGCTCTGCACAGCCCGGCAGCATGGAGAGCTGCCTCCAGCTTGTAAGTCTGGTGTGGTGGAAGGGAGGGAAGGGACCTGGTGGGGCAGATCAAGGCCCCCGTGGGGAGGGAGGCATGCGGCTGGGGTTTCCCAGCTGGGGTAGGGTGGGTTGGGTGTGGGTCTGGAGCAGCAACTTGTCTGGGAGGCGTGAGGAGGAGGGGGCTACTCCCACTGCTGCGTGCTGTGCAGCTGGGAGTTGCTGGTCTGGCAACTCATCTGGCACTCTCCTGCTGATCCTGCAGCTCCTGCTGCTGCTCCCACCACTTGTCTGGGAGGGCATGGGTGTGTGTGTGCCCCTGGATCTGAGTGGGGCAGGCTGAAGCTGGGGCTGCACCAAGCTCTTCCCAGTGGGCCTGCGCTAGCAGGAGGCTACGGGGGGAGGGGGGCACTTCAGACACAAATTCACGCAGATGTGGGGGTCACACGCCCCCCCATGCCCTCCTGGCCAAGTGGCAGGAGCCAATGGATGAGCAGGCAGGCACTGGACGAGCCACCGGACCAGCGGCTCCCAGCCAAGCAGCATGCAGCAGCAGAAGCAGCTCCATCCCCCCTGCCCCCTGGATGAGCCGCCACTCCATTCTGCTCCTGCCTCGCCCAAGCAGCCCCTGCCCCAGGCTCAGTGTCTTTCCCCGTAGGGGCCTTGTTCTGCCTCCCACCATGTCCCTTCCCTTCTCTCTCCCCCCACACCAGACTTATCAGCTGGAGGCAGTTATCCATGCTGCTGGGCTGGTATCGGAAATCAGATCAGTATCAGCCGATATGCCTCCTTAAAAATCAGCTATCGGTACCGTCTGCAAAAATCTCTATCAGTGCACCCCTAATTTTAAAAGCACCTTTGCTCTATTTAATATGTAGTGTTTTAATAAATGACACCCTGGATTTCCTTTCTTTTCTATAAAGAAGTGATGAACTGTTCTGATAAATAAACATGTGTTATTAACTTGTATTTCCACCACATGGTGCTGTCCAACTGTAAACTGGCATAGCTACCCTTTAAAAAAAGATTAAATAACAGTGACTGGGGAATTATAACTTCACTATGTAATAATATTTTTCTTGTCGTTTTAGTATCTTTCCTTTTAGGAGGAGACACATGCATGACTTGAATAACAACACAGATATGGACTCTGAGGTGCTTAAATTACAATTACTGTAGCGATACTCAGGCTTTTGCTCAGTGGAGGCTCTACATATCTTAGCTTAGTGGTTCCCAAAAGGAGTACGTACACTGGTAAAAAAATTTTGGTACGATACCAGTGGCTGATTATTAATGAGACATATCGGCTGATATGCAGCCGAGCAGCTTGGAAAGCAGTGTCTGGCTGGTAAGTCTGTTGGGGAGGGAAGGGTCACAGGGATGAGGCAGATTGAGACCCCAAGAGTGAGGGAGGGAGTGGGGCTGGGGCAGGAGCTGCCCAGCCGAGGCGGGGTAGAGCACGGGACAGAGCCACACACCTCATCAGTGGGGTGGATCCTGCTGCTATGCACACCCCTGGGGAAGCCATGAGGGGCACATGCTCCCCAGATTTGTGTGTGGGGCTAGGGTGGGTTGCCGCTACAGGTTGGGGCTGGGGATGGCACTGGATTCTTCCCAGTGAGAGGGTTGGGTTGGGGCTGCTCATGCAGTCCTAGTTTTGACCCTGGGAGGTTCTCCCGGAGGTTTTGACGCCGGGAGATTCTGGGGTTAAAAAAAACCCACACTGAAAAAAAGGGGCAGCACACATGGCAGCAGCGCACACGACCCAAATACAGAGCCTTCCCTGACAGAGCCATGCCCTGGCTGCCAACCAGGATCCCTGCTGAAGGAGCACCGTGGCTGCAGCTTTCTGAGGCCCCCAGGCAAAGCTGCTGGGGCCAGCACAGTTGCTGGCCCCAGCCCAGCCTCCCCTCCCCTACCTGGGGTAATCTGCTGTGCGCCAGAGCACACGTGGCACAGGCATTCC